CTGATCCAATTTAGTAATATCACCTGATGTAGTGATAACATCACCTGATCCAATTTAGTAATATTACATGATGCAGTGACAATATCACCTGATCCAATTTAGTAATATCACGTGATGCAGTGACAATATCACCTGGAATTCTTAGATAGTTCTGTGTTAAGGGTTTGACCATTTGATTTTTGAGGGGGAGGTCAGAATTAAAAAAACAAATTGCGAAGTGAAGGGTTCTTGAAAAAAAATCTTTGCTTCACCAGTGTAAAAAAAATATTTGTCACTATATGACTTTGGGAAAAAATATTTCCATCAGCTGTTGTCGTGCCATCTCTGAATACAGTAGATTCACTTGAATTACTGCGTCATAAGAATATGCCAATTCTTGCCAAGATAAGGGGACACAGAGTACAAGAAGAAACTAGGTCATATATAAATGGATGTCAATGATTCTGGTTTGTGGATTAATTAATAGCAGAGGGAAAATAAATATCTGCATTCACTCTGGTTGCATTTAGATTGTATACCATATATGCTCCATTGGAAAAGCATCTCCAATGGAAGCACATGTACGGCAACAATTGCATTGATTGTATACTGATTTATTAAAATATTATTTATTTTGACCATAGAAACACCTCTGTTATTTATATAAGAGCATGTGCTACTAATAGAGAAATACGGTATTACATGCAACATCTCTGACAATTTAGCTGTTTCAGTTTAAATACATTTTACAGACTAAAACAGAAACATTGTCAGAAAAGTTGCTTGCAATATTGCCGACTACTGTAAAATACTTTATTTTCTTTGGAATTTATTTGTGCTGAAACAGCTATCTGGCATTGTGTGGGTCTAATTTTTACTATGTTGTATTAAGACTCAATGCAATGTATAGAGAAAGCTGCATTTTCACTGAAATTTATTTTGCAGAAAACAGGGAAAATAAAATGCCAGTGCAAATAAAGCATTCCACGGTATGTTATGTGACCACAATAATAGACAAGATACATTCAAGATTGTATGGAACCATGTCTTATTAAACAAGTAATAAATAAAATAAATATCAAAGAAAGCTTAGAAAGAACTCCCGTGTGCTGAGAGAGTATTGGAGACACATTAAAATTAATTCAAAATTTCAGATTTGCTTTTCAAACAAGAAGCTTGGCAACTATTTTTTGTCTGCTATTTGAGATGCAAAACATAAAAAAAAATGTGATTCATCAAAATTTATAATACATACAGTAAATACATTTGATTTTTCATTCATGGTTTTTAGTCTAATTAGTTCTAAGTACCTCTGCGATGAATTCAATTTAAATCTGATTTTAATTTGCATGTTTATCAACATTAAACTAATCATGTCTGTGGATTACCTCAATGAACCAAATGAAGTATTATACAAATTAAGCAATTATTATGCATAGATTTAAGTCTGTATATTGTTTCACGGTGCACATGTACAAAGTTTCATTATAATGTGATGATTAATCCTAACTAAATTAGTGGAAAGCTGAAAAGTAAATTATTATGCAAATTAGGTCATTATTATAGATGTATATAGACCTATTCATTGAAATATGATTATAACCAAAAATTATGATTTATTATGCAAATTAAGTAATTAATATGATCTGATTTTAACCCAAAACTAATCAGGTCTGTGTATTGTCACAGACTATCTATGTACGAAGTTTAATTGAAATGTGATTATATCCAAAAATCAACTAATTATGCAAAATAGTTGATTAATATGCACACATTTTTACTTAAAATTTAAATTAATCAGGTCTTTGGATTGTTCTAGAGCATCTATGTACCAAGTTTCAGTGAAAAGTAATGAAGTAATAGTACTTGAAATATCAAAAGCTGAAAATTGATTAATTATGCAAATTAGATAATCAATATTTCACGCATCTGTCTGTGCATCGTCCTGTGTATCTATGCAAGTTTCACTGAAATGTGATGATCAGTGCCCGAGATATCAGTGGAAAAGCCGAAAATTGACTAATCATTATGCAAATTAGGTTAATTATATGCATGGATTTGGATATCAGCAGAACAGTCAAAGGATAGCTAAAAATTAGCTAGTTATCATGCAAATCAGGTAATTAATATGTATGGATTTCAACCAAAACCTAATCAAATCTGCGCATTGGCCCAGAGCATCTATACACCAAGTTTCATCAAAAACCAACATACGGTTCTTGAGATATCAATGGAATGGACAGACACGGTAACTGCAAACGGGACTATTAATTTAGATTCCGTCCGTCCGTGTGTCCATCCGGAGCCATTTCTCGGACACCCTTTGACCGTTCAAACTTGGTATACAGACAATGTATGATTACCTACATATGCACGCTAATTTTCGGTATGATTCGATTAAATATGGCTGACTGGCATCCATTTTGTCCCTCAAATTTGCTAAACTCTGATATTTAAACATGTCCGCAACTGTTTCTTAGAGCTGAACAGGGCGATACGACCTGATTCAGTCCAATGTTGAATAGGGCATTTTCAATCAAATTTTGTAAGATGACCTTACATATTAGGTTATGGTGCAAGCCATATTTCTTTTGGAGGTACTCGAACAACAATACCCGACTGGCTGCGTTTTTCTTTCATGCTATTTCCTCTGTAAGATATAGTCCAATTCAGTTCAAAGTTTCCATGTAGGTACTATACTGACAGTAACACAATCTATAATCAGTGTTAGTGTCAAAAAAACATTGATCTTTCATTTGTACATGTCACTTGTACTGAACATTTAAATCGACTACAGCTAGTAGTTAACGGTGACTATGCATTATCAATGCTTGTTAAAAATGGGTCATTACGCCTTAGCATTCAGATATGGAAGGAGAGGATGGATGTGTTATGATGGTCTGAGGGACCAACCCTTATCAAAGTACCAATCCATCCCACCTGGCAGTAAAATATCAAGTCTTTGCTACCTCCGTTGAAGATGATGAAAAAAAATGTTGGATATGGTGGACTACTAAAAAAAAATTGCAAGCAAACCTACTGATAAAAAAATCTCCAAACACATAAAAAAAAAATTGCCTTACACTGAGCTGACCTCCCCCCTCTACAATCAAATGGTCCAACCCTAACGAGTGTAGGAAAAGGTTTGATTCATGGGGAACTAAAAAGTAAGAAAGTAACTAAATATTACAGTCAAGTAGAAATGAAAGGCTATCCGGATATTACAGAACACTAAAGTCGTAAAAAATCTGTATATCGTTAGACATCTGTTCCACCAATTTAGTTTCATGGTTCATTTTATCTAAGCCGACAGAGATATCACACAATACATATTTCACAACACGATGTTTATGCTAAAAAGGTCAACTGCTTTGCACTGTTTGATAGGGCTGTCACAAAATTGTCAACTACTACAATCAGAAAATCAATGTAGCAACAGGAGAGGGGAGAAATGATGTTCATTACTAACAAATGTGTTATAAGAAATAACATTACTTAGTCATAGCGCCAAGCATGCGCGAGATTTATGGGTCTCACATAAACAAAGATGGCGACTTTGGCTGTTGCTCAGATCAACGAGTCTAAACTGAGACGTCATCAAGCTTTAAATGGGTATTTCAGGTGATTTGAGGTATCGCATGAGTCACCAGTGGAAATTAATGCAAGTCGCGTCCAGGTCAAACCTTATACTTTGGATTTCCATTGGAAGAACCCATTGGATTGTGGGAAAATCAATGTTCATCAAAACAAATGTCGCACATGCGCAGCGCGCCGACCACCGACCACTTTAACACATGAACAGATAGCTTTCTTTGTGGATTTATTCTTCCATTTTTTCTGAATTGATGTGCATTGGAATTATCAGGATTATGAATAGGATGTATTGGTTAACTAATATCGGCAAAAAAATCCAAGCCATATCCATTTGTAAACTTAGTCTCAATTGTCGACTTTGGAGGTCAGTAACCTGACTACAAAAATCATAATTGGTCTCAAGTCCGTATTGTTACGTTTAGTACACAGGTCATCGTGTGGTGCATGGGAAAGATGCATAAAACACAGTACGGTGCATTTTCACAATAAGTAGTTATATTATCATAAACAGAACAAAAATAGAAGCGTTTGACTATTAATGTGTGTACACAACTCGTAAACAAAACGGCTTAACTGACAACCAAGACGTTAGCAACCCGATACACCATAGCAGATACGACATGGTACATAACTATGGGATGACTTGCAAATATAGATGTGACGGATAATGTCAATTTATAAAAACCCTTTCTATATTTTCGTATTCGACAAATCATATTTTTTGCAATTATACTCTTTTATTAAAAAAAAACACATCAGTAGGTACTTTGTGTAAGGTCACGCTTTATGAATGCAAATTAGCAAAGTGTGTCTGGTTGCCAGGCCGATTGTCGATAGGATAATATCAAGAGAATAATAAATATAAAAACAAATTACACGCCGTGCGTGTTGATATGGGGTAAAATTGATTGATTACACGTAGTTCGAGTGGTTGCCTCACGATGATCTATGAATCTTTGAGAAAACCAAATTATGAAAACAGTCGCTTACGCACCTATGTATTCAACCTGAATAAAATCTGACGTATTATACGGCGTGAATTTTATTTTATACATTTTTTGTTATTTTACTACATAATAATAATATAATAATAATAATAATAATAATAATAATATTATTATTATTATTATTATTATTACGTACATCTTACATGTATTCGATTACAAAAAAAAAAGCAAATAAATAATTAACTCAAATAAAATATATGATAAAAATAAATAATTAATAACATATTCAAACAAATTGAGAAAAAAATAAAGCCCACTCAAACAAGGAGCATATTTTAATCAGTTTGATATGTACTAAAAATATGCATTATAAAATTACAGCCAAAATATTGATTTGTATCAACCCCTAATGCGGTTATATCGGGCACAACACTGGCAGCCGGGTGACATAGATTTCCAATGAGAGAACACTGCCGTGTATTACCTGGCAGTCGTGAAAGAGCATTTTGTCAAAATACCGTACACAGCAATGCGAAAGCTGTCGTCTCTAAATATGTACAGAAACGGGTTAACCATGGAGTTCGAATATTGTAGCCAGAGGCAGATGTCGTACCAAAAAACAGGAACACAGTAATACCCACAAACCGCGTCAACTATACTCAATATCTGCCAGGGGAGCCACGAGAACGCGAAAAAACCCAATAAAATTCCTAGAGTCTTGGCAGTTTTCTTGTTTCTTAAAACGCGATTTCGTTTTTTACCTCGTCTTTTTGTACGGTTCAACCGACCGGAGTGACTGTCGGGTTTCTGTAGCAGTACTCTCGCAAGGGACCAACTACTTGTGTTATGGTGGCTATGCAACGAGGCGTCACATTCGGATGGCATGCCACCGTCACTGTGGTGAATTTGACTGTGCTGGTTTACCGACTCGCTGCTTTCGAACCCAGAGACGGAGTGTTTCATAACCCAGCGTAAACTCCGTCGTACGGCGCAATACATGCGAGAGTATAGCACAGCCATGACGACAAACGGCACGAAAATCGTCAGGACCGTGCTGAGAATGCTATAATAGACATTGTCAACCCATTCAACGTCACATGTATGCGTGTAGTTGATCACGCTCTTTTGTCCGATCGGTTCCCATAAAAGCGTGGCCGGTAACTCGGCGAACAATCCTAGAACCCACGCCGCTACAATCATGGCAATAATCCGTTTCGGTGTCCTGCTAGGCGGGTAAGACAACGGGTGAACGATACTCAGATATCTGTCAATACAAATGACAGTCATATTGAAAACTGCTGCCGATGACAGAAAATAATCAGCACATAACCAAATTAAACATAGTTCTTTACCGAACTTCCACGTGCCCAGCAGCTGTTCCGTGGCCATCAATGGCATAACCAGCACAGCTATCAGGATATCGGTGAGTGCAAGGCTGAAGAAGAAGTAATTGTTCATTTTACGGACGTGTCTGGATGTACAAAACGCGACGATTATCAGCGAATTCATAAACAAAGCCACGGCCATAATGGCTACAAGTATCGTTGACACTATTACCATTCCAAGTAGACCATAGTTGCGATCCGGTGTTACCAGCGAACTGGGGTCCACGCTGACGACATTCTTACTGAGTATATACGTGAGATTCATTGTACGCTTACAGTAAGGTGTTCTCCCTTTAGACCACAGACGCTGTTTTGACTTGCTTCGTATTCATACCATCCCGAATACTGAATGAGAGTCAAAGTTCACCACAATGTTTTACGATAGTCGATTACGTCTTATTACAGACATTTCATCTGTTCGTCGTATAAAGCCGGAACTGCATTGGGCTTATGTTCAGTCTGGGCGTTTTACTATGATGTCACGTAGAGCCATGGGTATAATTTACATATGAAGTATATTGCATGGTGTTTATTGAATTGATCAAAAAATACTTTGTCGCTGTTTACCCGATGTAATTCTTTTTATAAGAGACAAGAAAGTTATTTTTGTTCCTCGGAAAGAGTCCCATAATGCCCCTCACCCTAACGCTATCCCCAACACCCCAGTCCCTAATGTAATTGTATATGCCCTCCGGATATCTACACTTGTCAAGTTGATGTACATATACAGAGTACAATTAAAATAGGAGATGGTCAAGGTTAGGATTGGAGTATTGGACGAGGGCCCCTAGGGAAATCTTCTTATGTTCTTCTTCTTCTTAGTACAAGTACCGAGGTTAAAGCGCGGCGGTCGTCGCGCAGCGCGTGCTCGAATTTCATGTAAATAAACAATGTATTTTACACGCGTTGTATACGTCGCTATGAGTCCCATATCGAACAGGACGCGGCGCGACGACTACCGCCCTTTAATATTGTATTAAAAAAGCGCAATAACCTAGTAATCCGGTCCCCATAAAAGCTAGGCACATTTCAAAGTCTCGCTGTGTTTCATTTTACGTTTGAGAAACTTACCTAATCAATAATTTACTTGACGATTTCGTCGCAGACCCTCTTTACCTAATGCTTCCTAGCGTTGAGATGGAACAACCAGAGCAAAAGCCGAAAATCACTAATCACTATGCAAATTAGGTAAATAATATTCGTTTGTATCAACGGATGAAAAGATCTAGATCATGTACTAAGTTTCACCGGAATAGCTTGGTTTTGAACATGTTTTTGTTTAACCACATAAAGATTGTCAAATCTTATACCGAAATATATCACACAATTGCATGGGCAAAATGACCCTATACAAGGCTAAATGTCACCTAAAATGCGATGCGAAAGCTAGGGGTCGAGTACTATAGTCACCGTTTTCGTTGGAGTCGGCCACATTATGGTGACCGTAGAAATGTAGCATGCACAGAGAGGCATTTCATTTCAGAACCTCTGACATTTCACCCAGTGCATCCGGTAAGCTGTCGCCTTGTATCGTAATCCCTGAGGTTCGTTTTAAAATACTGGATTTCAATAGACGGCGCTCTATGGGAGACCTGGTCAAGTTTTTCGGTCTTCGCGAGGTTTCAAAACTGTCCACCGGATTCATCGTCTGCTTACACGGCGATGTTCCGTTCAGACATTCCTCCCTGCTTCGCCGGAACATTCACCTTGAAAATTCAAGATGATCGGATTGTGAGTAGAATGCTTGTAATTAATTGGTCGTAGCTAGAAAAAAATGCAGATGAAGGAGAAAAAAAACGAAACACAGTCTCCCAGCCTACAACGTTACAAAAGTACATTTGCGTGACTGAAAATTTTACATGTTTTCATTAGTCAGAATAGTTAAAAAGCCAATAGCAGAATTGACTGTCTGGTAATCCATTAGAAAAATATTGGTGTCGCATATACCGTATTCCCCTATGATGTGTCACTTGTGTTTTAATTTATATGTCACATTTTATAGGATTTAACCATAAATACTATTTTTTTATAATGAGCATTATGTACATGTATGATTATTTATAAATAATCAGATTTCACACCAATTATCAATATCATGTTATTTCGCAATTATATTCATTAATAATCACAATACTAGTACAGTGTAGTGTTAGATGGTCAATTGAATATAACACACCAGTTCAAAATCATGGTAAAACATACCTATCATTGCCACATATTATATCAACACAGTGAAAATACGACACTTTTCATTCCTGGAAATGTCAAAAGGATCTCTTGTTCACTATGAAACATAATTTACAGAGCTCTCGGGTGACTCACACATCCGTTAGTAAGTTTCTACTATTTTATGATCAGTGAAAACGGAGGGGGACAAGTCAAGTGGCTGTACTCCCGGAGAAGTGCTACAGCGCACCGCCGATAAATTAAAGTTATCTAGGTACAACGTGGACACATTTAGTAAAAATGACACATATGATACAGTTAAACGGAATACCGAAATGCCAAACCAGATCATTGAAAATAAACTCGCCCCTGACGTCTGGATTGCGTTTACTGTGAAAAATATGCTACGTGAGATCATTCTGTTTTGTTCTCTGAACCCAAAGCTGTAAGTGTATGCCGAACGTCAGACCAACATGCCTGGCCCCGTACCTAGCTGACATATGGCGACAGTTTTTAAATTGCAAACATTTGCCCAATAGTAAGTAGTATTATTACTTCACGCGTCGCCGTAACCAACATTGGTGACGACGTTGAGTAGACGTCTCGCTCCACCCAGGTGTTACCTTTAGTATACTAGTAGTATATATAAACGATTTGTGACAGCAAATATTGTCAATCCGATTAAAATGTGATGTATTGTAGGTGTGTTTTATTTTATTATTACTATACATGCATTTTTTATAATTTTGTAAAGTTTTATTATTATTACGTACACTTTAAAGCGAAAGGGTCGTCACCTGCGCACGCTCGAGAATTGAGTTCCAAGCGGCGATAACAACACACGCAAAAGCTCATGGGTAGACGCTTGTTTGTAAACAATGACACGCATGTGCAGGTGACGGCTCCCCCGCTTTAAATAAATATAGTATATGAAAAATAATTAAATACAGATAAAAACAATGCAATAAACAAACAAACTAGGGTCTTATTCCTAACATTATAGACATATAATTATTATACTTCAATATTTGCTTCTTGTCGTACTTATATACTAAAGTATATCGTAAAACAGTTGAAAATGTCAACTATTTGTAAATAACTGAGACATTATTTATCAATATATTTATGATTTATCAATATAAACACAAACGGAGCCCCGTATTCGCCTACATCGTTATCTAAGCTTTCAGATGATATATAGGGTGTATATTATAGATTAGTCAGATTATTTACAATCAAGCGTCTACCCATGAGCCTTTGCGTTATTAGCGTGTGTTGTTATTGTCGCTTAAAGATAGTAATGAAGATGTTATGTTTCAGTAATAACTTATTTAAATTAAATTAACAAACTATTATTATTTAAACATCCACATGCATAGATTGTTATGTTTGATTTGAGGTAAGCGTGTTTGTTTCAAAGTTTGTTTGTTTTCAATTGACGCGTTTATGGCGTTTAAACGACAAAAATCGAGGTTGCCCGTAGTTGCTTCGGTGTTCGGTTAGCTGTTAAATAAATGTTAATTTACTAACTCAAAATACAGTTAAAGGGCGGCAGTCGTCGTGCCGCGTCCTGTTCGATATGGGACTCATAGCGACGTATACAACGCGTGTAAAATACATTGTTTATTTACATGATATTCGAACACGTGCTGTGCTACGACCAACACTCGTTAACTGTTAACACAGTCCCTCTATCCCCCTATTAATTCCAACCTTTTTTAATTTCGAACTCCAACTACAACCAAAATCAGCGCTCCCCGCGCCAATAAACTTTTATATGTTCGAATTACTAAATGGGCGCTAAACAACAAAACAATCTACGTTGCCCCTGACCTATGGGATTGATAGAACGTAAAGCTGTCGGTTTCGTGCCCTGTACCGTACCTATTTTTTAGACAGTCGGTCGACTGGAAAAGTGCCCCCCTCTTATACTAAATAGAACGAAGACGACTGTATACTAGTATTTCATAAAGTTATAGGAAATATGTATACCGCTCAATAATGTTTTAACTCAGCTCTGGTGCATGAATTCTGTATATCGATTCCTGATTCGAATATTCGACTGACAAATCATCGTGTGCTCTGACCAAAACAAAAGAACATCGTACATTTAGCTCACACTTACATGTTGGATTTACCAATTTCCAGTTCTTGCCGCTGCGGGCGTTCCAGTAAATATACAACTGGGCAACTAATCAGTGGAAAAATCAGTAAAGGAAAAACCAAGTTTGTGACCTATCAATTGAATAAGTTAATGAGGGATACAGTTAGGATTCGGTATATTTGTCACGTTTTGTGAGTATTTCGAAAAGTTGCCTAATTTAAGAGTTTTGCCAGTTCGACTAAAAATACAATATTATTCATTATCAATTAATTAAACTGTCAGGCTCCAAAAAGTCCAGATATCACAATACGAGTGACTCACCTAAACCCTACTTACACGACGTCAACAAGGTTGTATCTCCCCTTGTATCTGAAATGGTTTCGCCCACAGTTTCCCATTGTTCTATGTTGATAACAAACGAAGGTCATAAAGTTGACCTGGACGAATGACGATAACTTCGATCAACATGGCGTCTTCGTCATTACGGAATATATGTTTCCTGCTTTTAGTCTGCTGTGCCTCGTTGACTCCCACAAAGTCTGCTGAGGTAAAATGTACCAAAACCGGGCCTTGCTCCTGTGAAATGTCCGATGGGTCAGGGGTCATTGACCTGAAGAGAGTCGGTAATGCCGGGAAACCTATGGAAGTTGATGCTCGGTATGCAAATCGCCATTAATTCTTTCAACTACATGTACATGTTGTATTCTTCGGTGATTTTAATCAGAAATTGTGACGGGCAGAATGTTTGGGTTATGATATACTAGTATATTAGCTGATCATTACCCAATCATGTACTACCTTAATCTCAGCGGCCTGGGCCACCCTAACCACGTCATAATAACGTCTCAAGTTCCCGTGGCTTGCTGTTCAGAACATGGTGCTTAGACCCACAGGGGCTTGTCGACTGAGCGCGAAAGCCCCTTGTCGAGACGACAAGCCCCTGTGCTTAGACCCATGTTCAGACCACGGTTATTAACCGTGTTCAAACCATGGAGGGAAACAATTCACCCCGATGCGTAAATAATAGGTCCATTTCCAAATAACTGTACAAATGTGTTTTCTAACTTGGTCGCTAGTACTGTGTGATCGTACAATGACGGGGAATTTGTGGTGATGCAACAACCATCGTGGCCTTGGACTTTTGGCCCATTGTTACTGGCGTATACACTCTCTATGAGTGTATCTGTAATATCTGATAATTATCATACGGTATCCAATGACATCATCATAATTATTCGACCAGGGGAGTTATGAACTGAACGAATTTAACTCAATCAGAGCAACTTTATTATTCGTTTTTCGTCCATATCACTCGATACTTGATTAAGATTCCGCCAAATCCACCGACTGCAAATACGTTTTTCTCCGATATTTTTATTTATGCAGTTCAATATTGCCCAAGTTAGAATTCACATTCTTTTAATCTCATATGCAAAATACGAGAACAACGTAGAAGAGGCATAGATTAGAACTCGGGGTCAAACTGTTAGACTCCATGATGATTTCAAGTTCATGTTAGACTCCATGATCCAAGTTACAATTCGATTTGTACATTTCCTGTAAGATCCATGTGCAGTACGTACTGTGTTGTAATTTATATTTTCGTTTCCCTGTAATTATATTATTAAATTTTCGAATATCATCCAAACCCACTGTGAACGGGAATAACTTAAAAAATATGCAAATGAGCAAAATAAACCAGGTCCTGATTATACATTCCCAATTCGTTTAACTTGTTCCTGATATATAAACAATAAGTAAATACTATAATTTCTCAAAAAACGAGAAATTAACATTGTGAGCAATCTCAACAAGCTCCGATGTATAGCATAAGGAAAAGTCTATACTGCTTCGCACCTTGCAAAACAATGCGTCACATGATATACCTGTGGGTCCACAGCTCATCTCGTGTCGGTCTTTAGTTATTTTCAGACATTAGGATTTTCATCGACACAGAAGAGCTATGGTTACTCCCATTGACCTTGCATAACACAAACGTGCGACGCCAAATGGCATCGCAAATAAAAGAACGACGAAGCTAATGCCAATCCATAGTATAAAATATAATGGAACTTACGATGTGCGAACTCTCATAGATTGCTGTCGTTGCCTACCTTCAATACAGAATACATGTGACTCGTAGTTAATCATGTGTGACGTCATTCTACCTGTAGATTTATACACGTGAAGGCTGTGGACGCCAACTCATATTCATACAACCCGTGCTGGTCATTTGAAGAAGTCGGTTGTCATTCCGTCGCTGTAAGTAACTGTTGTTCATAGAATGAACGAAATTAGCTAGGCAGTCTATTATTATATGTCCTGTAAATGAGATCATGACGAATCACGCTGGGATAGTAAACTATTTGAAAGGCAGTGGTTTTAGCGTCGTTTCGTGTTTGATACGGGTTCTATTATTTTCACGGAATACACCTTTAAAGAGCGGTAGTCGTCGCGCCACGCATGCGCGAGATATATTGGTCTCATATAAACAAAGATGGCGACTTTGACTGATGGGCAGACCAATGAGTTACCAAGCTTTAGTTAGGTATTTTTAGGTGATTGGAAGGTATCGAGTCATCGGCTGTAATTAGTGCAAGTCGCACCCAGGTCAAACCTCATACTTGTGATTCCCATTAGAATAGCGCATTGAATTATGGCAAAATCAATGTTTATCAAAACAAATGTCGCACATGCGCTGCGCGACGACTACCACCCTTTAATCTCAAACCCAAACACACACAAAAACACCGTGTTGAGGGACGGTGATTTGATTCAATGAGTGCTGTCCATAGGTGTCTGTGCACAACCAGCGAACGTACGTACTTGAAACTATGCTTACTTGTATATCCTATAACGGGCGATGGTCTAGAGTCTGGAGTGCTTGGCTCTTGCCGTTGTACTTCTATGACTTTGCCGAAGGGCACCCAGCGAGCTGTACCTTCGTTCTGCAGTATAATAACAATCAACGTTGAGGGCAGCAACACAAACAGAAACTGCTACGCTGTATTTGCGGAAAATTATAATCGAATCTATCAATGTTTTCTACCAATATTTAGATCTGTCAAAGAGTTCCAGATCGTCGTGCTGCTTTATATTTCACTCTTGGAACACACGATAAATCAGATTTTTATCACAATGGAACCCACGTGATTCTAACATACGAAGGGCTGACTGGAACAAGTCAAGTTGTAAGGTGGGTATCCGGTGTAATTTATGTGTGTGCATAAAGCGGTGACGTAACTAAATGGCGGTGTATATCTATAGCGCCATGATCGTCCGCCGCGTCGTTCACTCAGCCAAGCACACTGAGGTTAGGTAAATGGCGAGAAAATAACAGATAAAGGGTGGGCAACATTGCGCCGCGTCCTGTTCGATATGGGACTCATAGCGACGTATACAACGCGTGTAAAATACATTGTTTATTTACATGTTAATATTTGCATAAATATTGTCGCTTTCATTTTAGGACGTCACATATTACTTTAGTTTGCAACAAAGAAAACGATGATACGTTATTTATACCGTATGGGGAGGATCCTTGGGTGAAACCATTACATTATGTAAGTATTCACATCACATAGCAACACATGACGCGGTAACTAAGGTCCTCATCACGTGACATGTCAGGCACTTCCCCGATGTGTTCGATCGTTCAGTATGACACTCTTACATCTATCTAGTATTGTAACATTGTAACTCACATTGTTTTGTTCGTTGCTACAAACTTGAACTCGCTAATAATTCGTATCGCGCAATTATTAACGAGGGCGCAAAATAAGTGAAAACAATTGACTCACTTTTTTGGTGGTGCGCACGCTAACCAGAAACATGCTTTTTGTTAGGCATAAGTTGTTATTTGGTGGCTTCAATCTCGACATAATATCTTCTTATTTCTATTTTCTTTTAGTACTACGATCTTATAAGTCCACATTCGTGTCCTGGGAAACACGAAGAAACTTAATATAATGGCAGTCCATCACCTGATTTCAGAAATAATGAGTGGATTCGTTTTCACCTTATCACAGAGCGGGCGAAGCATTGTATTACACTGACCACGTATGTGGGGGTTCATTTTAAGGGTCGCTGACATTACCCAAAGATGGTGATTTTGAAAAGTGGGTCAAATATTTTAAAACAAGTCTAGGGAGTCATTATTTCTGTTTTCAATACACTGTTTACAGTAATGTTATTGAGAAAGACCAACCAACTACAGCTATAGTCGAGGTGTGAGAGGGCGCTGTCACACAATTTTAGTTTATTGTTATTCGATACGTGATACGCAACACATAGACAAATGTCCCCACTCTATGTACAGTACTGTATTCTTTAAATTTGTATATTGTTCATTTCTAGTATCTAATAAAGTACGATCATTGCTATTTTATTTCAAAACTAGAACAATTTATATATCCCGACAAGTTTATAAAAAACGTACATTAATCAAATTATTTTTTGACAAATACCCTTGGCACTCCTTATACGGGATATCACGTAGTCTTCACCTACTTAGTTTCCTACAGATATCGCCCTCTATCGGCGAGTCGATTCTGTGACGTCAAAATTGCGTGTCGTAACTTGAAATTGGCGTGGCAATTTTGTGTCGTAGATCCATTTCCTTGTATTTAGATGCGAGTCCGCTTTTTGACAATTATAACGACATTCACTGAAAGGCTGAGTGATTGTAACAAATTACGATATAAACGTCGCCAACGGATTGTTATTCCTGACATTTTGGTATGTGTAGGCTCCTAATATGCCGGACAATTAATCAAATATGTTATGACGTGTTAACTACTTGATTGGCTACATGAGTGGAATGTTTGGAGGCCATGCATCAAGATCTACAACTTCCATGTGATAGGTTACAGTTTTGAGAAGTGAATAAACTAGTCTTGGGTCAGTCGTGGCGAGTTCTCCACGAGGCAGGGAGTCTTGGGGAGTTCTCTTTGAGGCGAGCCAGCCTTGGCGAGCTCTACACAGAGCGACTGAGATTAGAAGTTGAGACGAATTCTATGTGCGTCTTTGCTTGGTTAAAGGTTTGCAAACGTATCGGTCTCCGGTTACCTGAGCTGTGTACAGCAGCAGGACGCGTAACGAACTACATGTCCGTTTTAGAACACGAGAATAGTAGTTCAAAACAACTCTGTATGTGTTCGTAATTTAAAATATAGTAATTCCCTCATACTGCTTGACGACCGCATATCAAAACAATATTGACGCCGTGAGCAGCTTTTCTGTTAACCATTACGTCACGAAAACGCTTCGTCACAGGGCGCGAATTATAGCATTACGACTGCGACCAAATCGTTGGTAACGATGGCCAAAGTATACCAAAACATGGGAAGCTCTGAGCGATGATGCGATTCAACTTATACCACCGAATCTCGGATTGTCACATGAATCCACCCTCTTGAAGCGCTTCACTGACATAAATGGGCGACACAAAAGCGGTTCAAATCGTCGATATCGATTGACCGTCGATATAGTTTTCGAAAGGTTTGATAATAATCTAGATAACGAACGACTATACAACCAATCGCAGTGGTCGGTTTAAACGACATTATCATCCCTCACATACGTCATATTTACGTCACAAAAGCGTTCTGCCACTAGAGGGCGCTTTTCATAGAAATGGTATCGGTGTATTGCGGTTTTCAAGTTGAAACACACGGTTCATCACACTAGAAGACGATCTTATGCTGGTTCAGAGTTCCTATGCACGATCACGGACTGTTGCCACACTTTTCAACTTCGCCGACTTTGTACATCAAATTTTAGCATATATTTTATTTTACATTGTACACGAGTGTTCGGAATCTGAATTGAACGTGATTTATTCATTTTCCAATAAATAATACTTCCGGGCATTATGAGGATATTGACTGAAATAAAGTTGGGGGTCACCAGCTTAATTTTCGAGAAAATTATGATTGTAATTTAGTGGTTATTTCTACAGTATTATAACGCTACCACAGGCAGAGTTATTATGCCATATCTCAAATTGTATACTGGTGACATAGCATATATTGTTAAGGTAGAAGCTTAGTCATAATGTTTGACAAAATTGGTCATAAATCACGTGACAATGTTTATTAGTTTATTATGTACAATCATGAATCTAATGTCCTATGGTACAATGAAATATCATTATTTTGTGTGTTACAGTTAAGCTTTTTGAGAACCGTGTCCTAATATTTCTTGAAAATTGCTGTTTTTAGAACAATTCCATAGAACACAATGTTAAAGAAAAATTGTATTTTTTGACACTTTTTAACCCAGATTTTTTAAATAATTCAGAACAACAAAAAGTACTCCATCATTAACAATATATATGATTTTTTTCTGAGGCTAGATTTTGAGATACTGCATAATATCTCTGCCATAGAAACCTATGGTGAAATCGTTATAATAGTGTCAAAATGGCGAATTACCACTAAAATACAACAATCAATTTCTCGAAAAAAGGCTGGTGACCCCCATCTTTTTTTAGGTCAATATCCTTATATTGCCTTGGAGTACAATTTATTGCAAAATGAATAAATTCTGTGTTTTTTTTATTTATGAGCAGGCTTCTACCCTAAGGATGTTGTACTTATTGTTGTCCTAAATTATTTCACAAATCTGGGTTTTAAAAAATATCCAAAAACGCAATTTTTCTTCAGCATTGTGCTCTCTATGGAATTGTTCTAAAATAGAGATTTCTGGAAAATAATAAGACAAGTTTCTCAAAATACGTCACTGTAACAATAGTTTCACGATTTTACGTAATAGACCAATGAACACTGTCATGCGATTTATGACCAACTTTCTAAAAAATTATGAGTACCACAGTATTATGATTCTACCTACCTTGCGTCGAAATCGACATGGGTCCATACGACATAAACAACGCGTGTATAATACGTGGTTAGTTTTCATGAAATTCGAACACGCTCTGTATGACAAGTTAACCAGGTACTCAAAGTTTGTCCAAAATACATGACATTATGACAAGATTTGTTCTCACATTTAATACTCCCAAAGGAAATTAAAACTAATAATGACAAATTTCATTTTATTAAGAAAATAACAGAGAAAACCTCAATTAAGCATGTCGCGCAATTCATCTTCATGGCATTCCAACAACGCACAAAAACACGTGATTTTAACTTATTATGATATTTTATTTACTTTTTAAAATTCTCCTTACTAACTTGTTATATTTTATTTGTATTGATTAATATTTCCATGATTGCTATATACTGAAAGAAATGTGTATTTCTAAAGATACAATAAATATTATTATTTATGTGGGAAATTGATTGTAATTTGTTGATCTGTAATTTGGACTTGCACAGTTCCATCATCTCGTATTTCATGGTCACACATTACGAGTGATCACAGTGTACAGTTGTTATAGCAACGATATCACGTGGTGACGATTCAGATGGAACATTTGTTTGACGTCAGTCTTATGGTTGAATGTTTCAGGTCAATCAACAGCGATAGTTTCGAAAAAATAAATCTTTGTACAAAAAGTAAACGCCGATTTTTTTTTACTCCGCTCACATTTTCTGGCAATGTTTATACATATTACAGAACTCGAAAAGACGAAAAGTTATTCCCCGTGAATATAGGAGCACTACTGTAGGAAATAAAATACGTACATTTGTTGGTGGTCGTGCAGCTCGAGTGTTCAAAATTTTGTCTTCTGTTTTTGTGCAATCATTTGTCAAAAACCCGGCCCGCTATAAATTATTGTGTTTAAATATATCTGACTTAGTGAGAATGTTCGATGAACAACAAACTATAAAACCGTGACATCACCGTTAAATTATGAAAAATAAACTCGAAGATGACTTGTGGGTTTCATTAATCACGTGGTAGTTTTTATCTGATTACGTAATACTATAGTCTGCTATTTCGCCCACAGGCAGTCGTGCAATACTCAATATCTATTAAACGGCAGTGTGATGGCGGACACATGGTTAAAACACTAACGAACCATGACAAAGTGACATTCATTGAAAACATATATTTTTTCGTTTTCATTTGTGTTTTGCGTAACCATGTTCACGTATTCTTAATGTTGCATTATTACATTCCAGACACCCACCCTCCCTGTGATAAAATGGTTGTTCCCAGCCATCTCGTGACTATTGTGTGACGTTTTGCAATGCATGTACACACATTTACTCCAACTCGGAAGATGGCGGCGGTTGATAACAGACATGTCCGTTTTGAATATCCCCACAGGGCAGACGGGCAACAAGATGTCCCCACCGAAGCATTCATACACATCCAGAAGAAAAAGGTGTTGGAAGCATATATACTAGCATTGCCGTTTGGATGGCTTGGCTTTCACCATTTCTACTTGAAGCGACCTGGTTTCGGTCTACTTTATTTCTTCACGTTCGGGTTGCTTGGATTTGGGTGGATTTTTGATTGGTTCCGTATCCCTTTCCTAGTGGAGGAATGTAATCGCCGAATGCTGAGAGAAAGAATACCAACTAGTACACCGATGCCTCCACGAAAACGATTAGACGACGCTTACATACTTGCCTGTTGGCCATTGGGAATCCTAGGTACTAGTATATAATTGTAATTTTTAGGCGCATGCGCTGTTGTTGAGGTCATTGACGGTCATGCTGTTCGCGTTACATAATTGTCTGTATACACGTAAATCACGAAGTTATTTCTCGAGGGCTTCAATCTCGTGTTAGAACCTGGATAAATACTGGCATTTACTATGAAATGTGCCGGTTATAAACCGAACACGTTTTTCGAGTTTTGCTGGAATGGGTTGGCAAAACGGTAGCCGAGGTCAATAACCGACCTTGATGTGTGATGTGCAGGGTAAGCCGTGTCGGTATATCTTTAATTAAACGGTAAACCTTTGACAAAATTGAAATAATTGCTACGTTTACACACAGTTCCTTGTTGGGGGACTGTAGTTTACACAACAACATTCTATCGGAGCCGAACTACTGGTCTCCCACCGATTAAAACGGGAGATTATCTCCAATGCGTTTACACGGTTGGGCCGAACGAGAGCCGAGTTCAAATAATTTACTATCTCACAGACGTTTTGGAACAGGAAGTCAGTAAAAGACAAAAGATTTTTTCGTTAGCGTGGGGGAAAACAAAGGTGTTCCCGTTTGTGATTGGTCCTGACAACCTTTTGGGAATCGTGCGGTAGCTCCGTCTTTGAGAAGCAGATTTCAACTCCGAGTAGCCGCGGGGCTTCGATAAAATGCTGTCATGTAGCAAATACTTGTAGATGCATTGTCGGTTGCAAAATAAAGATTGACTGCACGGTTGTATGTTTCATGATGGGGTTAAATTTACAAATGCCCAAGTACATCGGCCACGTTTTGCTGACCGCGACCATGCCGTGAATAAAGCTCGGCTGATAGTAAAAATGCCGAATTACTGCGCTGCTGACATCATATCCTGACATGTTGGCGTGGGTAGGCCCTCGCCGGCCGAACGGCATCAGACCTGTGTTGGATTTGGAGCACCGCGGAGGGCGCAATTCACGCGACTCGTCAGGCTACTGACATCACTGACACAAACGACAAATAGTGCAATGTGTATCCACTGCTATCAATTCTAACATAATTTTGGCATTTCCACAAATTTAATATGAAAAATAACAAATACACCCTTGCTATAAGTGTTTTCGTGACGACAAAGTATCGTAAGTGGTCGCAAGCCATTTTTCACCATTGACGTCACAGAACTCATTCGTCGCTGAATAATAATATTATTTATCTATTTGTGTTTTGACTCGGAAACCTGTTCTATAAATGTTATTTAGAACTACAGCGATGTCATCAAAATAATCAAATATGAAAACACTGAAAACTATAAGTTAGGTTTTGTTTCTGAACGTTTCGATTTTATTTTCATAAACTGTTTTAAAACTCCCCCAACGCAGCAACAGGGGTTGGGTGGCACAGTCTGGGCGATTTCTTTCTTTTTATTGTTAAAATTAAATAAAAATATCGCTAAATGGAGGTTTTAACTTGAAATCCCCTGTAACCATGAAACCATGGTGGTGTCGCGTAAATACCGAATTTCGCAAAACTATTTTTTTCCCAAGTTTTTTATTATTATAATTTAACTAAACAAAAAAATCACCACAACTGAGCCAGTCTACAGCAGGGGCAACAACTACATAAATTATATCGACGACGGATTAAAGGTGGCCAGTCTGTAGTTATTGTAGTTGTTTATGGTCGTAGGTAGAAAACACAAACAGATAAAAACAGTGTTGCTAAAAACGTCCTGTGCAAATCACAGCTCATTCGTGTGATTGAGAGTGTTAAAAAACGGCATTTGAATATATAGTAGTAGAAGTAGTCAAAAAAGTACAATAGCGAAATTGGCCGGAAAGTCAAACATTCCATTAGACAAACATTGATATATTTGTCTATATCTAAGCTTTCAGAAGATATTTAGGTTACTGTCACACGCAACGTAATATTACCGTAATTGGTATAGTACAGGTGTGATGGTTCAAATACCAAAATGGCAACAGTAACAGAAAGACTTCCCTGGCGGCGATGATAAAATACGAACACTGAGCCAACAGATGAGGTTTCAACTGGTACTGGTATTATTATACTCTGCAAACATCAAGTACAATAACGCGGTAAAACTCCACTACTCCAATAACTGTACTTAAACTCCAATACAATTCAACAAGATCTCCGATCCGAACCCAGCGCTGAACAACTCCCCCACATATACCCACACTGTCTATAAATAGACCATTACATCAGCTTACATAATGAGTCTGGAACTTACTACCAATTTCTAGAATGTTCCATTACCTTCTATTGCCTCCTACAGTGTTCTATTACCTATTCAACCAGTTTCTAAACAAAATCTAGAATATTCCACCCAGACACAGTACGGTTCTAGAACATTCTCAGTGACACGGAAGTGGTACATAAGTCGTATGTGACAGTTACAATACTAGCGTGTTTAGTAACTTTATTAGAATTTCTGAATCAGAGATCATTTTTCAACACATTTTTCCTTGGTTGGTACCCCTAGTTCTTTTGATCAAGAGAGAGTGAACTTATCTGCCATGTAGAAGATAATATTCAGATATTAAAAGATCGTAACTATTTTATATGATTTGTTTACAGGTTTACATCACTACTATCTCGAGCGCTATGCATGGGGGCTCGCCTACACGTTCACGCTAAGCTTTCTGGGTATTGGATGGATTATTGACATTCTACGCATGCCTTGGCTGGTGGAATCTGTCAATCTGGATATGCAGTACCGGTACAGCAGCGGACTGTTGTACAGAACTCCGATGAAATCTCTATGTGACGCCTACATACTCGGTGTACCGCTCGGATGGTTAGGGCTTCATCACTTTTATCTAGATCGTGTAGGTTTTGGCCTGGTGTATTTCTTCACTTTTGGTTTATGCGGTTTTGGCTGGTTGGTTGACTTGCTGCGAATGCCCTGTTTAGTGGACGACACGAACCGACGAATTGCCCGACCGGATAACAAGAAAAGCCTGTGTGACGCTTACGTGCTATGGTTCCCGTTTGGTATCTTCGGATTTCATCATTTCTACTTGAATCGTCCGTGCTACGGCTTACTCTATTTCTGTACTTTGGGTCTGTTCGGGATTGGTTGGCTTATTGATTTTTGTCGACTTCCCTCACTGGTGAAAGATATTAACGAAATGCTAGAGAGAAAGTATCAGCTCTGTCGCATGACCAATGACCGAGACCCTATTGCCAGCAACCAATCTGGCGCAAGTGCGTATCCAAGGCAACCACCGGGCAACTATGGTAGCTTAGCGTCTGGTTCTCAAGGAGATTATGAAGGCTATCAACCTGGATACCCGCCAGCAGCCGTGATGCCACAACCACCATACCCATATGGGGCATCCGAACGAATGCCACAGCCACAAGACCCGTATGCCAACATGGCAGCACAGATGCCACAGCCACAAGACCCGTATGCCAACATGGCAGCACAGATGCCACAGCCACAGGACCCATATGCCAACATGCCAGCCCCGCCGCCTTACACGGAGTTTCCAGTAGCCGGGCCATCTACGCAACCTGTTCTCGATGAAAAGCCTAGTAGTCGCCCTGAAAGTACTGTGCGTCCAACTGCACCTCCCCCACAAAAGAATGACGAGGACTATTAACTCGTGTCAGTTCAAGACATCAACAACATTATTTACATTTCTGGCACCAAAAAAAAAAACTGTGCATGCTTGGTAGCCTACCCATAGTGCAATGGTCACAGCGAAGAGTGCAACAACAAATTAAATAAACGGGATCGAACAGAAAATGTGCCGGATACACGTGAAGACATTACGTACACCAACCTTGCTTACATGCGGTGTAATAGCATACTCGTTTGATTTCCCAATATTGACTTTAATAGGAGTTTTGTTAAAAAAACATTTTGGGTGATTTTATAGTCAGTTCATTGTTGATAGCCTCCACTCTAGAATTAGACTGACCCAGCCATGACAATTTCATTGCTTTATTTTATATGATGATTGCTTGTAATATGAATTTGTAAAATCCCGGTTATTGCTGCAAAATGTATACAATTTGAAAGTGGAAATTGATTCATTTTTATACATTTGAATTATTTTCTACATGTTTCGTATTAACTTAAACTATATGCCATATTCTTTAGACTAGATTCCGTCTATGAGACTTTGAAAAATCTACGAATAAGAAAATTAGTGAATCGACTTTTGTAATGTTTTGTTAAGTCTGCGCATGCATACTCCCATGATAATGTCTGACGTCATGGAGACAGGCAATAGGTGATGACACAGAGTTCTTATTTAACCATGTAGTTACGCAGCGATTCAGCAAGCAATTCTTACATGCTACCGAGTAAGGGCCATAGCCCTAACTGTCTAGCTACTAGTATTTTGAATAGTTACTTAAGACAACGATTACCGAATAATGTCGTTCTCCGATGTACTCGGAGTGGCGGAACTCCATACTTATCTGGGGTACTTGTTTAAACATGTACATATTGAATAAATGGCATGGCTTCTTTTCTACCAAATATTGTAATGCAATTTATACCACACTTGGTCACGTGATCTATTCATGAGTGGTCTGAGCTGTAACATCACACTAGGTCTCTTGTCTCTATGTAGATTTGAAATCAGCCACAGTTTTTGTCACGCGGAAATTAGTAATCATCAGTTATTTTCATGTGCAGACTGTTTTTTCACATTTTTTTCCATATGCATATTAGAAATAGACAAGTTGGGTACGTGCATATGTATATTAGTAATGCTGGGTTCGAACAGTGACTTCCGTATTTACGTTGATACGATGCTGACCATCAGCGAAATTACGGACATTTTGTAAACATTTAGCTCAACCGATCCCTAGTGACGTAGTGGGTGTTGCATGGGACCCATGATAAAATATCAACAATAGCAAAACAACCAGACTCGTGTGAGAGTATGGTTAAGCAAAATACGTGGTTAATGCATCGTCGTTTGCCACGCCCTCTAGTGGTTGCTCCTGTCCATGTAGTCCTTGATCGGCCAATGAATGATTGAAACTGTGGTGCACGCACGGAAAAAAATAAAGAGTGGGCTAAGGCCGTTTTGGGAGAACCTTTGATAAAGTCTGCAGGGGTCAGTGTTTTGTTGATACCCGAATAGGGCATTGGATGACCATTGGATATAGAGATAACCTTATAACCCTGTCATCGATAGTGTATTTGTGGTAAAGTGCACCATATTTACGATTGGCATTTGTAATTGCAATAAAATAAATAATAAACACCAATCAATCTAGCCATTTTCAAGATAAAAAGAATATTCACTTATTTTAATAAATAAGAAAATTGAAGTTATTGAAACTAAATGGGAAAAATCTGATAAAGGAATAAACTAAATCAAACTGACTGAGGTCCACCAACCTAAAATATCGGCAATTGGACAAGCTATTTTTTTACCCAGAACGACAAAAATATTGACTATAATTAGAAAATTGAAAGTATCATCGCGAAATGAATCAATAGGATTTAGATCCACCCAAGTTATCTACATATAATATATATCTATAGCAATTTGGCCAGCCGTTTTCAAGTTGAAAAAATTGGCCAAAATATTCACTTAAATTAGAGAATTGAAAGTATCGTCACAAAATGAACAATATCTGATTGACAAACATCCAAGGAACATTTGTAGTGACGGTTGAAGAAGAAGACGAAAATGTGAAGTTGACGACGACGGATATTCAATAATACAAACTTTGTTGACAGCGGATCACAAATAACGCAAGCGAGATCTCGGCGGCCATTTTCGTTTAAGGCAGTTTGAGCCGAATTCAAACTTTGCAGTACTGAGCACTTTATAGCTACGTCACAGTGTAAAATGCTAGTTTTGACCATTTTTATGATATTTTGAACTCTTGCATCTCGAAAAATTCTCCAGTAATCTCAACGTTTTTTTTTATTTTGATGGCATGAACCAATTGAAATGAAAGTATGATGAATATGAACGGCAGACGAAATGTCGAAAAGGTCATATTGGCATGGTCTCACTCGTGTTTTGTAGTAAAAACCTGCATGCAACTTTGTGAAGAGATGACATTTGATCAAATTGTAACTCGGTCGTCTGGGTCGGGCTAAGGCAACTATACTGTCACGTGGTATGGGGTATTAAACCAATCACGAACTTCGGAGATACAGTGGACGTACTTGGTGGAAATGTTTGAACTGGCGTATACACATAGCGTAAACAGAACAGAGTTAAAAGAAACAAATTATTTGGGCATTTAACAAGTGATGGGTGAATTGAAAACAGTAGGATGGGTGAATTCGTTCGATGGAATAGCAGTGCTGAAACCTAATCCACACGTAGGGGAAAATCAAGGACGTACTAGAGACTGTATTCCATCAAACAAGTACAGTAGCTACAGTTTGCTGCTAGAATAAGGGTTTCATGATGTCATGACAATTAATAACTTTCTGATCAATATATAAAACAAAATATTTAAACACTTCTAAGAAATACACCACATTATCTTTGTGTGGTCACGTGACACATTGCTCCCTAACTAAGGCTTCAAATCATCACGATTTCCTTAGTCTTGCTCCAGCCGGGATGATTAGTTTTTATTTCACTGAAAATAAACTAATATAGGAGTTTCACGAAATATGTGACTGAATTTCAAAATGATGGTGTGCACGAAAAAATCGCGTACGATTACCATATACCCATGTGTCCCTATTCCTTCAATCAGATATCCTATCCTACCCCTTCAAAAGTCTCATAAAAACGAAAGTTATTAAGTAGTCTACCGTGATGGCGCACAGTCAGGTCGAAGGTCACAGGTCAACACTGGGACACACGGCGCGCATGTTTGGGGATTAATTCATGAAGAATTCTATGCTCATTTTGCTTGGTATATTTATTATTGTTATCAGCAGTAACCATGTATCGCCACAGGACTATCTAAACTCTCACATCGAACCCGAATCCACCAGCGAATCAATCGGGGATTTGAAATCAGCTTCCCACACGTGTCGTGCTGGCGTTGACTGCGAGGAAGACGGGATCTCTCCGATGGCGTTGGTATTGTACAACCCCACACAAATAGGACCGTTCAAGTTAGAGGAAAGACGTTCAATTTTGCAGGGA